CGGGAATTAATTTTAGTCTTCCTGATCTATTCGTGCACGAATTCCACCTGGCTGCATTAGTGTGTGCATTATTCATAATAACAATGGGTGTAGTGCTGTTGAGAGTATTGTTTGGACTGATGTACTATGTATAACTATTCAAATCCTACTGGAACTATTGCCCGGTTCAGTGTGTAGACACTAAGGTGTGAAAAGGAGAGGGCGAGGGAAAGAGAGGGAATCTTTGAAGAGGCCAGAAACAGGAGTACTTATATTCCCTCGTTTGCTTATATCTGTAGTACAAACATTGTTTTCCATCATTACTTAGCTTTTGACTGACAGAAGCTCTTTCCTCATAAGCTATTCTTGTTTTTTCATTTCTTTTTATGGATTTTTGCTTCCCGAAATTTCTTCCAACGAAATTACTCATTTGTCACCCAAAATGGCTGCTAGTTAACAACTGATTTGCTAAGGGTATAGTGGCTGTGCCGACAACCATACCATTTTCTTAATTTCATGATTATTTTTCTTAATTTCGTCATCATTTTGAACAGTGCCGCATCATCTGGTAGTCAGCCTGTTAGCGATTCTGATGTTTTTTTTGCTTTTCTTAAAGGGATTACCGGTTCAGTGATTCCCTCGATCAGAAACATTAACAAGATCTTAATCACCTGGAGATTCAACGATGTGTAAAGTTGACCCTCTTCACTTCGCAGTCAAACGCCATCACTTCCAACTTGCATTAAGGTACTTTGACTCCAGGAACAATTGTTGCTATCAAATCATATGCATTTAGGATTCAGAAATTCAGCTAATATCATTTCTGTTGACACGCAAATAATAAAGGCGAAATCATGTGTGTATATGTGTGTGTCTGTTTTATTGTATGTCTGTGTCTGTGCGTGAGTTTACCTAGGTGTGCGTGTTTATTTGCGTGAGTGTGCATATGTTTTTGAATGAGTATGTGCACGTGTTTGTATGTTGTGTTTGTTTTGGCGCGTGTGTGTACGTGTCTGTGTGTATTGTATGGGTGTGTGTTTATGTGTGCGTATGTCTATATGAAGTCCGTAACTGAGCTGTAGAACTACGAAAGCTAGGAAGCTGAAATTTTTTCATCAGTGATCGCTCTGGTTTCCAGTTTGTACCGTGCATCCTTTATGAACAAATTTGTTTTAATAACTCAATACAAAATCCCGGAATGGACATTTGGAGGATAAAATTACGCTATTTTTGGCCTTGGCATGTACATTTGAACTCAGCAGAGAACAGATTAAGTAATGCCCTTTGTCCAAGTAACTATTATGCGGAGCCTCATTTTCCCTCCCACTATGCCACTTCTGCTAAATGGTTTTGAGAGGTGAAAAGGTCATCTACACCGTTCACAGGAAGTGCAACAGTTGACCACTGTAGTTAAATGGCCCTTGTCCGTTATG